TGTCTGTCGAAATTCGAACAACTTGTTAGTTAATTAATTGGTCATGCAACTGCAGAACAACTTGGCTCATTCCTTGTTCACCACAAAGACGGCCTCTGTGGCTATCACCTAATAGATGATATTACTTCTTATTCTTAATATAAAAATTATTTGACTAATTTAAAAAAAAATTAGTTAAATTAATTATTTGTAATAAATAAGTATTGTTTTTTCTAAAATACCCTTACTTGTGAGCGTATTTAACATGTGCAACTACTACAAGAAGTTTCTTGTGAAGAATGGATAAATATAAAGAAAAATAAATTGAAATCTTATATTTAAAATCAAGTAAAAAGTTAAAATAGCCATATTAACTACCAGAGGTATTACTTTAATGTGGGCAACCAGCCTATTATGGCCCATTTGGTTAATCATAAGGAATTTAATAGCATGTAACATAATGTAAATAATATTAATATTAATTTCTAAAATTTAATCTCATTTTAATCTTAATTTTAATTTTTAAATCTGAAATTAGGGGCTTTAATTCATAAAACCTTATTTTAGAACAAAAACACTGTTTTAAGGAGAAAAAAACTTTAAATTGATAAAAATGAGATCAAATTTAAAATTAAGAATGATATTAACTCTAATATTATATGAGTTTATATGGTATGTCATTAGAAAAAGAAAGATGACGCATAAAGTATAAAAATCTAGGTTGAATCTGGAAAAAAAATGGGAATGGGTAATTTGATGATGAGAGTTTCCTAAACAAACACTTAACAGAAGTTTTTCTAAACAATTATGCATTTAAAAATTCGTTTCAAAATTAGGGCCTAGAGAAAACAAGATATCTGGCTCCCCCCGCGTCATTGACGCCGTTAAGACGAAGCTGAACTAATTGAGAAGAGCCACCGGGGTGGCTGCTGACTGCCACGCGCGGCGGAAGGGGACTAGGCTAGGGGTAGGGCTCGTCGGCGCGATTTGAAGGAGGAGGAGGCGAGATCACTGCTGAAGCAAGCTCCGCATCTTTTCATTGCCGTCGGCGAAGATAATCCGGTAAGACAGAATCAAGGGAATTGAATGGGCGGGAAAGTGTGAGAGATTTGCGAACGTATTGATAGGTGATGGGAGTGACGGTCAAGCCAGGTGCCGCCCTGCGGTGTATCGTCGTCTCGGGCATCATCTCCCACTTTACTTTCTCCATTTCTCTCTCACATTTCTGCTTCTCTAATTCCACTCATTCTGGCGATATTGGCCATCTAGCTGCTTTCTTTCCAACGATCATGCTTCCATTGAGTCGACTGGATTGGGCTGGCCATACAAGTCGCTTCAATGCTGAAACAAATTTCAAGCTAGCTTCTTTGTGCTAACTAATGCTGATCCTGCCTTTTTTTGCTGTTCATTTCCAGCATCTGAACTTCGTTATTGCTTTCAACTTATATTCAGCTCTGAATAGCGCCGTCTTTTCCATCTGAACGCTCATGGCTTTCCTCTTTCAGAAATTTCAAGAGGTTTCTCCCTAGCGTATGATCATCTAAAATTATTATGCTTGTTCTTCCCGTGAAACTCACGACAATAATTTGTCTGATCTTTTTAAGGCTGTAAAAACCCTTGCAAAAAGTCCTACTTTTGCTAGGGATCCTAGACATTTGCAATTTGAAGCTGACATCAATCGCTTGTTGCTTTACACAAGGTAAGTACTTTTATATACCTTAACCAAGCTACTAATGGCACTCGTATGCCCCAGACGGATATGTGGATTTTCCCCTTTGTATCTCCATCTCTTGACTTTACTGGCAGAGTCAAATTTCCCTCTCTTGTTCGTTGTCCTCTTCTCTTTCTACCCTCCCTGTTTGATAAAATTTTCACTGTCTATAATTTTTCAATTTGCATGGGTTTGAAAAATGAACGCATGCAACAGATTTTAATATTGCACATGTGCATATGTTCAATATAATACTTTTATCAGTCTGTCACACTCTTTTTCTATTTCGAAAATTTTTCCATTGCATTGGATAAGATATAATATCTGCGGTCAAGCAACATATTCACTGTCAACAAGATGTTGAAATTTGTTATCTGTTTGATGCTGTTGTGGGTTCACATATTGTAATATCTCCGGCTTCTCTTGTGCAAGCGTGACTCTTCCCATTTTTAATGTTACATGTTTTGCTCATGCAAAGACTTGAATATCCAGCTACAATCGGTTGGGGAAGAATGCTGTTGAGGCCGATGCAGAAGAAATTATTGAAATGGCGAGCAAAGCTTCTGTTGCTGATCAACAAGCGCAAGTGCAAGAAAATGTTCATTCTCAAATTAAAGTTTTCTGCAAGTTCATGGATGAAATTCTTCTTCCTAATGATAAGGTGATGAGCGGCACTCTTGAGTCTTGTCAACAAGCAAGCGATTTGCCCCGCCGAAGTGGGCTTGGTTTGGCTGTGGGTAGGAGTGCCCCACCTCCCAATCATCCTGGTGAGCACCACACCACCTCCCCCCCCCCCCCCAAAAAAAAAAATCCCAATCTTGGCTGATGTCCAAGATTTTTCCAACAGTCTGCCACTACAGAAGAGTTAGAACTATATTGTTGGAGGGGTTATTAGTCATAAGCTAACTTGAGAGAGGAACTCCTTTCAATCTGTACAATTAATGGAGCAGAAATTCATCATTTTATCAAGCCTTAGGAATCGTTTCACTTTTACTTATTTGTCATTAAATAATTTAACAATGATAGAACATAAGCTCCATTAGCGCATCTTATATATGTGGTTGACGCATGGCCTTATTGCCTGTAGGATCTAAAGACCTAGCATATGATACTGACCTTGGCTACTTATGAGTTCGTCCTTTGTAAATGAGTGTGTGCGATTATTATGGATGAGGAATACCCTTCTATGTATAACTATAACATGCTAATGCTGCAAGTTAATCTATGTTGTTTGAAGTTTGGTCCTCTTCTACTGACCTTTAGATCTATTATTGAAATGAGAAGGCTAACTTTAGTAACAATGACTACTTTACCATTATAATTTCAATGTTTTTGAGGTATTCTACTTGCTTTCTGTCTACTGGAGCACTTGTCAACAATGCGTTTTGAATGCAGCTATCCCTCAGACAAAACCGTTAAGCCAAGCTGAAGTTTCTCAGAAGCTAAAGGATCTTCTTGGCTACACACTTAATGTTAAACCTTCAAAAATATTCCACAAAGAAGCTGGCCGAGGTCTATTTTTGGAGGGGGAAGCTGATGTCGGTGCAGTTGTAGCCTTATATCCTGGTGTAGTATACTATCCGGCTTATTACCGGTATATTCCAGGATACCCGAGGGTTGATGCAGAGAACTCATATTTAATTTCAAGATATGATGGGGCCGTCATCAATGCCCAACCTTGGGGTTCTGGAGGTGACAAGCGAGAAACATGGAGTGGCACAAAAATTAGGGAAATCCAGTGCGACAAGAAAGGAGTTGAGAAAGGTTCAGACCGGTTCTGGAAACTACTGAGTAAGCCTTTGGAAGGCACCGTAGGAGGCAATACTGGTGATGTGCTAGAGCGTAGAAACCCATTAGCATTTGCTCATTTTGCTAACCACCCGGCTAAAGGGATGCTACCAAATGTGATGATCTGTCCTTATGACTTCCCATTGACCGAAAATAACATGAGGGCATATATTCCAAACATATTATTTGGAAACGCAGAGGTAAATATGAGGAGATTTGGCAGCTTTTGGTTTAAATCTGGCATGTCGAGAAGTAGCGATTCAAATGTTCCTATTCTCAAAACCTTGGTTTTGGTGGCTACTCGGGCTCTTCAAGATGAAGAGCTGCTCTTGAACTACAGACTGAGTAACTCTAAGCGAAGGCCAGAATGGTATGCTCCGGTGGATGAAGAGGAGGACAGGAGAAGGTGGAGTTAAACTTAAACATGCCTCTTCTGTTCTCCTGCCGGCTTTATGAAGGCACTATTTTAACTGTTGTCTTGAAAGCTGCTGAGTTTCATCCTTACATATTAATCTCTTGTGAGAAAATAAAGTGAGGTTTCCCTTCCCTTTTTCAGGAAGCTAGGGATGATGAAGTTTTGCTGAATTATTTTATTTTATTCCCCCTTATAGACATCAAATCCCAGTCATTTGTTGACATCCCGAGTTATAAACTAGTTAAACTTAAATCGAACATGCTTATTGAAGCTTGGACGGTTTTCTTATGGCTAGTCCAGTCCAAAGCAGAAGTTGCTTCTAACTTTACTCATTCAAGATATGATGCCAAACATTTTTCTGATGTATTGCTGGCTATACGAATTTGGCGTTTTTTTTTTTTTAAAGAATGTCAATAGTCAATACTCAATAGTGAACATTTTTTGTGAAGGGCCTTAAAAGTTACAGTTTGATTTAAGCACCAAAATACAATCAAATGACCATAGAATACCTCCATAATTTTTTTTTTCTTTCTTGTAACTTTTTCCCCTGTCACAGAATCTCATTGTTTTGCACAATAGTTGCTCTGATAGCCACCCCTCTTTTTTCAAATGGAGTGCCTACCATTGGGTGTTGGAAGAAAATGAAAAACAATAAAAAGAGAAATTAGATGATAATTTTCTATTAGGTAAATATAGTTATTGATTTGTCTTTTAATCATTTACTTTAATCATGATTTTAATAGTTTCTCAAATTAAATATTAACTCAGGTCCTTCAATTTATTTATTTTTTCTTTTTTTTTAGAGTACAGGAGGATAAAAGAATGAGTCATCATTTGACAAGCATTGAGCAATACTCTCACAAAATTGAAATTACCAGTAAATGTTGGTTAAAATTCCAATAAAAGTTTGAGTGGAATCCAGTGTTAAAAGGCTTAGCATTTCGTAAGTGCCTTCAGTTCAGGCGGGATGAAAACACGCACATATATTGAAAAAGCTTTCTTTCAGTTTGAATTTATCCTGACAGTGGTAGCAACACCCTTGTATCCGACAATTTGGTGCATTTGGGAAAGTACTTTGTGCTTGTCTTCCAATCATGCTTAATAGTGTTGCGAAACTGGACGCACTATTAACATTTTCTAGAGGCTGTTACATTAGGTAGCAAATGAAAATACAGCCATATCTTCGTTCGAAATTGTTGTTCTAGATAAGCACATAACCCGAGGCATAAATGTGACTCCATGGGCAACAAGCATGTTTTGCACACCACGTAATAGGAAAAATGGGAAAAAAGGTCTCCATTTACAAGGGATGTTTGAGTCAGGTGGCCTGTGATGAGGGGGCTCGAGCAGCGCGCCTTTCTAGAGCCTTCAACCTATTTGCTTCCATACGAGTCCTCTGCTCTTCTGTTATTTCAGCTTTGCCAGAAGTTTTGGTTCCGCTATTTGAAACTCCATTTGATGTTTCCGCGATGGAATCTATGAACTGAGAAGGTTCCTGTAACAACAAAGGCAAGGAGTCTCCTCATCTACCGCATCATCAATAGCTTCTGTTCATTCTCTTCTTTTATTGGCCGTTAGCCTTGTTTAACTAAACATTGCTTTTGGTACACGGCGAGCCTCAGAGTAACATTCATAAGGACATATTCTCTGAATATTTTCATGGAAATCCCAATCAAGCATTCATCATTCATAGTATCGTTTTTAGCCAGAATAAACATTTTTCCCGTAAAACAAAATCAGTTAAAAAAAATTCAGCGTTACTATCCTGATTTTGAAGCATTTGAAAAATCAAAACATCCACAAAGCTTCTAACCAATCATATCATACTGAAGATAGGCAGCAGAAGGTTATGGCTAGTATCCTTCGCAAAGCAAAACCGTCAAACGTTTCCCTAGTAATAGATAGATCGTTTTGCACGACAGTGAAGAAAATTGATTTAGAAGAAATTGAACTTACTGCAGTAGCCTCTTCGAAAACTTCGTTAAGAATATCTTCTTCAGTGTTCTCAGCATTTTGGGATTCTGGAAATACGTCTCCCTCTTGATGACTGGCTTCCCCAGTTTCTGCAAATATAACCAGAATATAGAGATTTGGCATAAATGCTGGACAACACAAAATGAACGATGCTCTCGTCAATCGGCAAAGAAACGATTCTATGAAATGCATTGAATGATTGCATCAAGCCAGCAGGGTATAAAAGCTCGCAAATTTGTCACAGGATCTTACCCAGGATCAAATCAAAGATAATAAGCTCGTTCCACTTATACAAGTCAATAATTGAAATATAGATACAGGAATAAAACTAATCAAAATTACAAAATAGCATTAAAACCAATATCAATTAGAAAAAAAAAGGATCTAAGAAATAAACGTACTAATGAGTTAATAAGACGAAAATGGATACATTTCATGCTAATAATGGATATTTCCGAAGGAAGACAAAAGATATCGCCATCTGTCATACCAAGTTGCAACACTGCGCATCTCTATGGCTACGTTTCCCCTTTTTCTTTCTCCCCCCTCCCCCACCACCCCCCCCCCGGGGGGTGGGTTTGTTTGGAGGGGTTTACGATCAATGGGCAAGAGGTCGAATGGCTTGGGCAACCAACACATGATAAAGTGCATTACAACCCTTATGCACCATTAGATTTCGTTCCGCAAGATTATAATCACAAGTTTCCGGAAAGCAACATTTAACACAATGAAACTAATGCGTCTTGAGAACTTAATACCAAACTGTAAAGCGAACATCATACCAGCGTTATCAGCCGGAAAATCATGCTCAACTGGGTGTTCACGCAGCCTTGTTGGATCCCCACCATTAGCAACTCTTTCTCTCAATTCCCTGAGGCAAGTCTAGTTTCTCCGCAGTGGGTAATCAACGTGAGAACCCGTAGAATTTTAAGAAGCATGAGTAAGAAGCATGCATGCAGGCAATCACACAACACAGACATTGCTATGATTGCAGTAACAAGGACAAAACTATCATATGCTTAACATGCATTGTAGTCTGTCTATTGACATGTTCTTCGACCAAAAAATAAGAGTAAGTGCTAGTAATTGAGGAGAGCGAATGGATCAAATTCCGATAAATTATACTGATACAACCTAAATTTCTCCTTGCTTGCTCTCGTTCGATTTGAGTCACTTTGCAAACTTGATTGTCTTGTAGGAAAATATGGACAAAATTGACTTCTTAAGAAAATTGTTACTTTAAAATGTTAAAACTAAACCAAAATATCATGAAACGTTAAATGATGGTTTGCATATCATGTGAGTAGAAAAGTGACAGAAATGGGACCATGGGGGATCATAATGCAAAGAGGTCTACTACATATTTGGGCATACACGCTCGTAGATAGTTCGCGAAATTTTTGAAGCTGTGAAGGTAGAATTTACATGATTATCAACTTTCAATATGCAGAAGTATCGCCGTACCTTAACACGCTTCGTAGCACCAACTTGCTCCACTTTGTGAACAAATTGATTGAATGAGTAATAGGGGAGCAAGCGAGAGTGCCATTCACAGTATAACTCAAGAAGGTTACCCAGATCACGAACCTAAACAAAGCAGCATGCACAAAAGACGTATAAGAAAGAAATTGAAATGCCCAATTTTAAGTTTAAACAGCTTAAATGTAGATGAGAGTACAATAATATCATAGCCTGGATAGTCTATAAGAAGAAAATTCTTTATCAATTCGGATTTATCGTTTGATGGATCACATCTATTGGTCAGGAAAGTGGTTGATGTCAACTCACCTCAAAATATCAAAGTTACAAATATGTTTTATTCCAAGACAACTTGTGCCAAGTGATGTACTATCCGTCACCAAAGACAGCTTTATGAATTTCTTTTTAATTGATGATTTTTTATACACCGCATTTATTGGTCAAAAAATGAGGTAAACATCGTTGATGCCTGCTCACCTCAGAGCATCGAGTTTGATGGCTATAAAAATCATGTCAACATGACTACTTCACTGAAACAGAGATCAATCTTCGTTCATTCAAGAATACTCCTCCAGAAGAGGACAACCATGACAAAGTCTTTGTGATTACAGAATCTGGTTACCAAATAAAAAAGAATAACAGAAAAGAAAAGGAATCCAGCGAATACCTCATTCCCGCGGCCACGGTACTTGAAAGCGCGAGGGAAATAGCGAAGAACATAACCAAGGCCGTCATCGGAGAGAAGAAGATCAGGGGTGAGTTTAGGCCTGGATCTTGGGAGCTTCTTGGGCTTATCGGCCGGCTTGCGAACGGAAGGGGTTCCATCGCCAGCGGGAGTAGGCTTGTGAGAGGAAGATGAATCAGGGTTTGAAGGAGAAAAGGGGCAATCACGCGACCAGTGGCCTGGTCGGCCACACTTGTAGCATCCTGTTGGGGCCGCCTCCATTTCACTCTTGCCTTTCGATTTTTTCTTCTCTGTAGAAGTTCTCCTTCTCCGAAAATATCCCCCCCCCCCTCTTTTGGCGGGAAAAACTGGAGGGAACGAGGGATCGCGTACCTCGCCAAAACTTTTCTGTTCAAACTCGATGTTAGTTTTAAATTTTTTTTTTTTTTGCCAGCGGTTTTAAATGTTAACTTCTTTAAGCCAACCAATCAATTACTCCCTCTCTTTCTTGTTATAAGAGACAAATAATCAAATTATGTTGATAAAAAAAATAGTTAAAATTAGTTGAGGACAATTAATATGTAAAAAGTATAATATTTTTTTCAACAATGTCCCAATTAATAAGGAGAGAGAGTATGAGAAAGAACAATTAAATTATTAAAAGAAAGAGAAGTGGGAGGGAGAGAGAGTATGAGTTGGAAACAAAATAAATAGGGGTGAAATAGGAAATCAATACAAAAAAATAGAGACAACTTTTAAGTGTCTCTTATATATAAGAATATGCCATAAGTATCAAGTGTCTCTTATAATCAGGAACGGAGGGAGTAATCATTAATAATTAACATTGATGTAATATTTGTGTCTATTACAACAAAACTAATGTTGCTGTTTCGTTATTCTTAATATTAACCGGCGGGGAGATATTTAAATCTCCTATTTTGTGGGAATGAATGAATGATGAGGGAACCATCCCCGTCAGGCATCGTTTAACTAGAACTGTGGCGTGAACACTCTTTATGCTTAATAATATGACTTACGACGAAAATTCAAATGTTCATTTGTATTCTCTTTCTCTGTGACTTCTAGAAAATTGGACCTTTTTTGGGAAATTCTTGGAATCTATTCCAGCTAAACATCTCACTTAGAAACTCCCGCGTCATTTGAATATAAAGAGCCTTTATCTTTTTTGGCGACCGATAAGAAGAGTCTCGGAAAAAAAATTATTCCTTCCTTATCCTCATTCAGTTTTAGCTTCACATAGACAATGTGATGTAAAACAAGAAAGGATTGGAAGGAATGAGAGGTTAGAGAAGAGGAAGAAGAAGAGAGGAGAAGTAGAGGAGCAGAGAGAACGGGAGAAAACTGATCGATAAATTCTAAATGCCAAGTCTCCTCACAAACTGAAACCCTAAACTATAAATAAGAAAGAAATAAATAAATAAAAGAAATAAAATAGGGGGTGGGGAAGTGGGGTGAATGGAGTAACTACCTACGATCTAAAATAAACAATAATAAAATAATTAATTAGTTAAATTAAAATCTGCATCATTTCTCCCCGGCTTGGAAGAACTCGCCACTGGAGAGTTGGACAGCTGGAAGTCATCAAGGAAGGCGGGGTCCATACGACGAAATTCGTCCTCAGTAATCCATGTGGCATCTGCATCAGTGCAGCCTTTCCAACGAACGAGGTAACGACTAATGGGACCTGCTGGAGTGGATATCATCTGCTCATCCATCACGGCATCAATGGCTGGGGTGGGCGGCGCAACCTTGGGCAACGGTGGAGTTGGGGCTTGGTAGGTCGAGGTACCTGCAGAATCATCAGAACACAAAGGGGGCGGCTCGAAAGTGCCCCGGTAAGGAACAAGATCCTCAACATTAAATACTGGACTGATAGCCATATCTAGAGGTAACTCTAATAAGTATGCATTGGGCCCTAACTTCTTGGAAATGCAAAATGGGCCAGAGGCACGAGCATGCAGCTTCTTGTAAGGCCTCTTTGGAAAACGCTCAGGCCATATACGAGCCATGACAAGATCGCCAACATCGAACTCCTGGTGACGTCGATGGACATTAGCAGCTACCTTATACTTGTCATTATTTAAAGTTAACTTACGCCTAACCTCAGCATGAATATCGTGAAGGCGATGTGCAAAGGTCTCGGCGGACTCAGAAGGGCGAGCAGACAAGGGAAGGGGAACAAGGTCAACAGGCTACTTCGGGTTGTAACCCTGAACAATTTGGAATGGGCTTTTGCCAGTGGATCTATTGACCGAGTTATTGTAAGCAAATTCAGCTATAGGCAAGACTAAATCCCAGTTACCAGGCTTATCGCCAACTAAACTACGGAGCAGGTCACCTAAGCTACGGTTAGTCACTTCAGTCTGTCCGTCAGTCTGAGGGTGGAAAGCAGACGAGAACTTCAATTGTGTACCGAATAGCTTCCAAAGGGTCTTCCAGAAATAGCTGACAAACTTGACATCCCTATCAGAGACGATAGTGGTAGGCAAACCGTGAAGACGCACAACCTCTCGAAAGAAAAGCTTTGCCAGATGTGAGGCATCGGTAGTCCTACTGCACGGAATAAAATGTGCCATCTTTGAGAATCTATCAACCACAACCAAGACAGAGTCATGTCCTCTCACTGTCTTAGGCAATCCAAGCACGAAATCCATGCTAATGTCCTTCCAAGGTGCCTCAGGAACAGGAAGAGGCGTGTACAATCCAGTATTCCTCTTCTTTGCTTTGGCCGTATGACAGGTACGACACTGGGAAAGGATTCGAGCAACATCACGCTTAAGGGAAGGCCAGTAGAACCTATCTTCAACCAGGACCGTAGTCTTCTGAACGCCGAAGTGTCCGGCTAACCCTCCAGCATGCAATTCCCAAACAAGAAAATCGCGCACTGACGTGCGGGGAATGCACAATCTTGTCCCACGGAACAAGTAGCCATCATTGATAAGGAAATCCACATGATCGTGGCGGTTGCCATCTTTAACCTCGTTATAAATGATGCCAAAGTCAGGACACGAGGTGTACTCATCCCTGAGCCGGTCAAAGCCCATGACACTAACCGTTAGAGTGTTGAGAACGTGGATTCTTCGACTAAGAGCGTCAGCTACTTTGTTCTCTACCCCTGGACGGTGCTTGACCACGAAGGTAAACTCCTGAATGAATTCACTCCACTTGGCATGTTTGGCATTCAAATGCCGTTGGGAGCTAAGGAACTTGAGAGACTGGTGGTCTGAGTATATGACAAACTGTTGGGGAAGGAGGTAGTACTTCCAATGCTCCAAAGAGCGAACAATGGCGTAGAACTCTTTGTCATACGTGGAGTACTTTTGCTTGGCCTCATTGAGCTTCTCACTGAAGTAGGCGACAGGGTGGCCTTCTTGGCTGAGAACGCCTCCAATCCCAACCCCGGATGCATCACACGCAACTTCAAAGCACTTGTTGAAATCAGGTAAAGCCAGGACGGGAGCACTCGAGAGTTTCTTCTTAATAGTGCTGAAAGCTGTGGAGGCCATGGGAGTCCAGTTGAACTTATCCTTCTTCAGGCAGTCAGTAATTGGAGACATAAGTGTGCTGAAGTCTCTGATGAAACGCCGATAGAAAGATGCAAGCCCATGGAAGCTACGTGCTTCATGCAGTGTCTGCGGTTCTGGCCAATCTTGAATAGCTCGAACTTTCGCAGGGTCAGCAGATAAGCCTTGTTCCGAGACGATGAATCCGAGAAACATAACTTGGCTCTGTAGGAAGGAGCACTTTGGTAGGTTGAGATAAAATTTCTCCTTCCGCAGGGTCAGAAGCACCTGTCTAAGGTGGTGCAAGTGGTCATCTCTGGACTTACTAAAAACCAGGATGTCATCAAAATAGACAACCACGAACTTTCCCAGATAGGGCTGCAGCATATGCGTCATCACTCGCATAAATGTGCTCGGGGCATTTGTTAAGCCAAATGGCATAACGAGCCACTCATACAGTCCATCTTGTGTCTTGAATGCAGTCTTCCACTCATCTCCTGGTCTGATTCGAATCTAATGGTAACCACTACGAAGATCAAGCTTGGAGAACCACTTAGACCCAGACACGAAATCAAGCATGTCCTCTAACCTAGGGATCGGGAACCTGTACTTGACAGTTATCTTGTTTATGGCTCGACTATCAACACACATTCTCCACGAGCCGTCTTTCTTCGGAGTCAAAGGGCAGGGACAGCACAAGGACTGAGGCTATGCTGGATATAGCCCTTCTCAAGCAAGCTGTTAACCTGACGATTGAGCTCTTCCCGATCTTTAGGGTTCATCCTGTAGTGTGGAAGGTTGGGGAGCTGTGATCCTGGAACCAAATCGATTGCATGCTGGATGTTCCTTATGGGTGGCAAGTCAGGAGGTAACTCCTCAGGTGCAACATCTTTAAACTCGTCCAAGAGTTGGGTCACTTCTTTTGGGAAGTTGTCAGGTATTGTGCAGGAGGAGAAATGACTTTAGAAACAACAGCAAGGATGACATCACCCTCTCTACTTTCTTCGATGAATTGCTTTTCCGTGAGGAGGTAAGGTTGATAGGTTTAGAAGTGGATCCTTTCGTGGGGATTAGACCTTTTGCTTTAGGCTCAGGCTTTGCAGGACGGAGTAAGATGGTCTTGCCCTCATGCTTGAAGATGTGGTTGTTCGCTCGGCCTTGGATAGTGACATCATGGTCATATAGCCACGGGCGTCCTAAAAGAATATGAGACACATCCATAGGAATCACAACACATAAAACATCCTCCTTGTAGTCACCCAACTGGAGTGGGACTCGACACTGCTGAGTGATAAGCAATGAAGTGTTGTCGATCCACGCAACTTGGAAAGGCTTAGCAATTTGCTCTGTCTTAAGTCCAAGACGAGTAACACCTCGACTAGAGATCACATTCCTTTCACTTCCACTATCAATAACCAGCTTGCATGACTTATCACCGCACTTCACGAAGGTGTGGAAGATGCTATTCCATTTCCATGAGTCATCCGGCGTTGGGACAGTCAGGAGGCATCGCATCACTCCAAGATGACCTGATGGCATGTCATCACAATTAATTTCTTCGTCCACATCAGAAGGACTATCGACAGGGTCGATGACGACATCTGGATCGCTCTCGAGTAGTGCATCGTCTTGAGATTCGATAAGCAATGCACGTTGCGGGCACCTTGAAGCGATGTGTCCCTTAGAGTGACACTTGAAACACTCTATCGATGAGCTACCTGTGCGAGCGTTCAAGGCTGATGACTCTCTTGGCCTAGGAGCGCTTGGTCCTGAAAGTTGTTGACTTATCCGCTGATTGCCCGAAACAGTGGAGCTACGTGTTGGACGAGACTCTAATCCAGAGAAGCTGGGACGTCTGAAAGAGGGATACTTAGGCAGGGAGTCAATGTCGATAGCCTTATGATATGCTTCCTCTAAAGTGTAAGGACGGTTTACTCTGAGCTCCCTCTGCATGTCATCCCTAAGGCCGCTGATGAACCTCTCAATAACCACAAAACTCGGCTCATTTAAGTCATTGCGGATCAGAAGGTCATCGTATCGAGAGACGTAGTCGGCTGCCGATGAGGTTCCTTGCTTGAGGTTGTTCAATTGGTTGAAAAGCATGCTTAAATGGCTGACCGGCACGTACTTTTCCTTAAGCTTCAACTTCATCTCCTCCCAAGTAGTGACAGGAGGTTGCCCTAGGCGTTCAAGGTTCGTTTGGACGAACTGCCAATACTTCCTTGCGGATCCTACAAGCTTCATCTTGGTAAAACGAACGCATTGTATGTCACTCATATTGTACCACTCGAAGTAGTCGTCCATGGTGGCTAACCAATCGAGGAAGGCATTCGCATCTAAACGACCATCAAAGTCAGGTGCCTCAACTTTAACCCTCTTCGTCACATCATCATTGTAGTCTTGCCGAGGGGTGTCTCGGTATCGTCTGGGCGGTGACGGTTCTCGTCCATACCTAGGGCGCGCGGCGCATCCTCCATAGGCTCGTCGGTTCACAACATGGGATTCGTAGCGAGCCTCTGTCCCTTGCTCATCCCATGGGTTGTCCTCTTCCTCGAACTATGGGGGAAGGGTCTCAACGTGTAGCGGTTTAGCCTGCGGGTTACGTAGCCCTATAGACAGTTGGGAGCCTCTAGTGTGAGATGGTCCAATGTTGTCGAACTTAAGGTGCGCTTGATTGGTCTCAGGTACATTTCCAAGAATCCCTTCTGCACCTTTACTAAAGACATGCCTATCAATTCTTAGGAGAGAATCTCTAATTTCTTGCTGGGAGGTCCTAAGCTCTTGATTAGATACCTTAAGCTCCTGAGTAGTGGCTCTAAGCTCCTGACACTGGGAGTTATATTCTTGCTTAATCTCGGCCAAAGATTCCTTAAGGCATTTGGTAAGTTCATTCAGTTTTAGTTCAAAGGTCTAAAGTCTCTGGTCCATTTGGGATTGAAGGGAGCTAACACGAGGTTCTAAAGATTGAAGTGCTTGGTCTAAGGTGTCTTGTCTATTTTCAATATCACGAATAGTCATGCAGTAGGTAGACGAAAGCTAACAACAAATAATGAAACAAGTAAAGAGCTACTAATAAATGAAAATAAATTCTTCCTCCTTTTTTTTCTTTTTCTTTTTTTTTTTTTGCTTTTTTTTTTTTTAACAAATGAAAATGCCAATAAAATACAAGATCTACGGTAGACAATAATCAATAAAATGGCAAAAGCAAACTAGAAACCTCCAGTATGTCAAACTAGTCACAGTAAGTTAAAGAGAGGGTCAATTGCACCTTACCAATGCACTTAAAGAGACCAGAAAAAATTACCCCAAAGTGTCTAAATGATTCTGTGGCCGAAGTGAAAATTTTGACAAAATCTGGGTCCAGAAGTGTAATTTGCTCGAACGAATTGGGTGCAAAATTTCAAAATCTGGGGCGAAGGCGAAATTTTCTGGAAAATTCGGGTCGAAATGTGTAATTTTCGCTAAAACTGAATCTGGAACTGCAAAGCACAGAGGCGCGTGGATCTCACACGCAGATACTTCTTCCGGAGCGTGGAGGCACATCGATAGTTCGTTGGCCGTGAAACTTCGGTGTGTGACCGTGTTCCTCCCTACGGTTCGAACGACGGTGGTTTCGCGGCAATCAGAGGTCGGACGAGAGAGTTATGAGCCTTCAAAGTGACGGTGACGGTGATCTTGCGCAGTGGACTTCTTCAGGCAGTAACTCACCGTGAAATTGAGTGATTTGGACGGTTATTGGCCGAAGAGGATGATAACGGTGGTGGCACGGTGATAGGAGGCCTGGGAGTGAATGGACAGAGGCGATTGTGCAGCAAAACCTAGAGAGTGACGGCACTGATGGGGCTTTTGAACTTAAGGGTGTGTTTGGATGGTTTGGATTGATAGAAATTAAACACAGGGAAACATAACCTGGCTCTGATGCCAAAATTGATGTAAAACAAGAAAGGATTGGAAGGAATGAGAGGTTAGAGAAGAGGAAGAAGAAGAGAGGAGAAGTAGAGGAGCAGGGAGAACGGGAGAAAACTGATCGATAAATTCTAAATGCCAAGTCTCCTCACAAACTGAAACCCTAAACTATAAATAAAAAAGAAAGAAATAAATAAAAGAAATAAAATGAGGGGGTGGGGAAGTGGGGTGAATGGAGTAACTACCTACGATCTAAAATAAACAATAATAAAATAATTAATTAGTTAAATTAAAATCTGCATCACAATGAATCATCAATCTCATTAATACAGTTTGGTATGAAAGGAATATTGTCCTGCATCAATGTAAAAATTCTTCTCTCGATTCACAATTTGGTTTCTCTTGCAGCTCTAGCTTTCTCTGTGAGTGGTTTAAAGTTCAGCACTTCCACTCCTTTTGCTTCTTGCAGCTCTACGATACGAGTAAATAGAAACGGATGGACCACTATAGTTCAAAAGCAAAAGCACTTTAGGCGTGTTTACTTTCACTTGACAATTGGCTGCCATGATTTGTCAATGCAGAACAATCTTATGAACAAAAAGAGTAGCAAATAACGATTTCTTCCTCATCCACCATTTCCTTATGCACTTTGCTGGTTACGTAAACAGAGTCTTCCGTTGGTATTAATAGAGGTGTCCTGGTTATTTTTCGCATCGACTATCAATTCATTCATCCCACCCGCTCTCAGGGATCCTTTCAATCCTTGATACTCATCCGGTCTTAAATATAAGACTCTTATACTAATATGTATAATGGTCTTATATTTAGGACCAGAGGAGTATAAGAGTTTGTTTGACTTTATTTTGATCATAAATATGTGCTGCAAATCCATTTTGTCTCTTATATTTATCTTTTTTTTTAAGATAGTCATTGTAATAATAGTAATTCTAGCAAATACTATTGATATTGATTAGCAATAATATTCTAAGAAAAATAATATTCATTTATTACAAATAATTAACCCAGCTAATTTCTTTAATAGATTCAAATTAATCAATCAATTCTTAGATTAAAAACCAGAGTTAGTATAAGAGTTATTCAGGGAGTTAGATTTGGTCATAATACAAGACTTCACTCCATTTTATCTACTAAATTTATATTTTTTTTAAAAATATTTCCACTGATCATGAGAAGTTTGCAAATTAATCATCTAGTTCTTATATTAAGGGTAAAATGTTTAACTACTGCTTTAGGGATGCTTTGCCTTCCGAGTTTTATAACTTTATTGAATTCCATAATTGCTCTATTTCATTTGCCGTTATGTAAATTACATCTCGTAAACTCTCATCTCCCTTAATACTAGTATCATTTTGTTCTTGGATGACAAAAAATTACGTTCTTGTTCAACACATCTGGTTCAATTCTTAATAGAATTTTTGTGATACGCGTTCAATTATTAGAGGCAATCCTATGCAATTTTTGCTCTGACCCATAAAATTTGAAAACCATTAATTTGGTTCGGTTTATTGTAGTAGTATTCTGATCCTAAATATAAAACCCATTTTAATTTTATATTACAAATTGAGTTTTATATTTAGGACACAAAGAGTATTGTTCTCAGAAAAAAATGTTTAGAAAGATTAAAATAAAATCAAATTTCATGACCAAAATTACTGGTTTTAAATTTAAATGACTAAAATTAAAAGATACTCCTCCGGTCCTAATTATAAGACCCAATTGATTTATTTGAGGAGATTAAGGAAGTAAGTTAAGTTGGTTATTTATAATAAATAAGTGTTGTTATTCCTAAAATATCCTTGCTAATTAAGTATATTGGCTAAAACTATCATTATTAGAAGGATTATCTTGGAAAAAAATGCATAAATATAAGAGAGAAAATGGATTGGGTCTTATAATTAAGACCAAATAAAAAGTCAAATTGGGTCTTATAATAAGGACCGGAGGAGTATCAAATTTTAAGAATTAAAGACGACATTAACCTCTATCAGAAAAATGATAATGTCCTCTGTGTCAAAATCACGTTTTCCTTTTTTGCTTTTTTGCCTGAAAAATCACGTTTTCCATGAGAATGAAGGCCATTTTGATTATTTACTATAAAAGCATAATTTTATTTTAGTTTTAAATTTCAGATTTTTTTTTTGAAGGATTGATAGAAATAAAATCACTTCGATGTTATCTTTTATGAAATTCTCCCTCCACCCTGAGTTTTTTTCATACACCACAAAATTCGCTTGTTCTTGACAGCGGTCGCGTTCACTAATCGTTATACCCTTTAGGGCTTGTTGCGTTCGAAACTCGCAGTGCGTCGCGAGAGAGATGGGGGGAGGCCATGGTGAGGGCACAACCTACAAAGGTATGACAGTGCATGCTCCGAAGCGTTGGCATACCGTCACTGGCAAGGGGCTTTGCGCTGTTATGTGGTATGCGATAACCCTCATTTCTCCATCTCATCTGGCGCGCTGTTTTCATTCAGCAGATCTACTCTTTTCAGCAAAATTAAATGTTCTGTTCATTTGATTTTTGGCTACATCGTGGATCTCTTGTTGATGAGGGATCTAAATATTTGGCGGATTGCCCTCGTAATGACCGAGGAAACGAGTATTTTTTGTTCCTGTTTAATTCATGGAATTTGTTATTGGTGAGGATTTAGGCATGTTTGGTATCAAGTTAATATTGGTGAGGATTTAGGCATGTTTGGTATCAAGTTACATGGTTAATCGTTATTGAAATTAAACTTTGTGAGACTGTTTTCATTTTTCCAAATTATTCTTGAGAGCGCCGTAATCTAATTTGACTGAATCGATTCTGACTGCTTGGTAACTTACCGCGCGTTTCAAAATTTATTTTTCAGGTTCTGGGTATTGTACAGGGCAAAGCAAGATGGCCCTGTAGTATTGGTAAAACTCTGAAAGTTAATTTTGTTTACCTGTATTTAGCCGAGTCATATTTTGGTTAAGTTTTACTTTTTCTGATACATTCTCCTGTTCTCTCTGGTGCCATCCAGGGCTGGAGACATCCTTGGGAGGGTCATGATGATCATGGCCATGGACATTAAAATTAGGTACCTTCACTTGATTTATATTATCTCACTTCTCAGCAAATTTAGAACGAGCCATTAGTTGTCAACCACTGCTTTGCATAGCTTCTATTGAATAAATTGGGGACGTTATCATGACAGAAGGTTGTCTTAACTTAGTTAGGGATAAGGTCTATTTTTGTCCCGGAAGTGTTCACGGAGTAACATTGCTCCCACTTCCGGATACTCAGATCCTCCGTGAAAACTTCTAGGGCAAATGGACCTTATCCCATTTAGTTATGTGGCTCTTAAGCATATGTCAATAACTTTACTGAGGTTTCCATGTTCTGTTAGTGCTAACTTATCTATCATATTGCTGATTTAATTTCTTTGTGAGTTTGATCTGGAATGGAAAGGATTCTTTTTTCCTGTTCTTTTGATGAAGTACCTTGAAGGACGCACCTCATCATTTCAATTTCATATACATTATATACAACTATTTTGACGACCCTAGAAATTTTCTGCCAGTGCCAAAATCTTGATGGAACTCTTGTGAGTGGCATGTGTTAAAATAAATGTACAAAATGATGAATAACGTGCATCTGTTGATTTATCAGCAAGCGTTGACACGGAGATCATGCACGAGACAAGCTGAAGGATCCGCGGTTGGGCGTATGTGATACGAATGTTCACTTTGCTCAATTCCTCCAATAAGTTTGCTGTGGAAGAGATTTCCTTTTTGGACGTTTTCCTGAACATATGTTATGTTACAACTCTAGACCCTGTAAACTTGGATGACAGCTGTGGTTGTTTAAATAAATTGTTCATGTCTTATGTTTTTAATAGAGCTATTTACCATGAGAAGACTCAAAATTCGTGTGTTCTTGTGCGGACGCCAAATTTTGGGTAAATTCCTGTGTTTGGATGGGCGGGTCAAGACAATTTTAGCCAACGATGTTATCATATTGGCAGGAAAATAAACCGGTCAGTTTAGCTTGGTATGGGTTTTTACAGCCTTGCGGGGTATGAGCTGAACCAGATATGAATTACATATTTTTTCTGTATTTTATGTATTTTCTCACCCCACCATTGATACTAGGCCCATTGGAGCTGATCAAGATTTACCCCGGAAAAAAAAAAATCTGTACTTATTGGACATGATGCAATACGCTAAGTTGAATTTAACAGACTAATAATGTACACTATGACAGGGATATATTGGCTTGAAGTTGAAAGAAGTGAATAAAGATTAAAAGGAAAAAACAACTTAGCGATCATTATTTAAAGAAATTCAATATTAGTTAAATTACTATACTTTAGTATTTGTGGGCATATTGATTCTCTTTACCAAATTTTAAGTAATTTTTTGTGCGTAAGCAAAATGCTGGGAGGAAAAATAGTGCAACTAAAATGAAGAACTGCGATCAGCCATAATCTGTCTAGTATATCCTCAAATTTCGTATAGTCTTTTGCTCATCTCAGGCACCTCCATCTTGGCGAATATCCTGATGAAAATGAAGATCTACGCCTCAAATTATTATAATTATCGTTTGAGCTAATATTAATCTTTTAATTTTCAACTGTAACTATTTTAAAGCAAAATTATATGATTCTTTAATTTGATTGTTAATAGATATTTTAATTTTAAGTGCCAATTTTTTTTATAGAAATTATAAGTGCCAATTTTTCTTGTTAGTGATAAAATAAAAAATAAATTTCATTTATTTAAAATTAGTATTCACCTTAAAAAAGAGACCAAACGAGGAGACCTCATGGATGCAATACTCAACCGTTGGGTCGGGTCGACATAATAGCAAAACTCGGATTGTCACCTGACGCCGATTGCAGATTTTGAATTAGCCCTAATTAGATTTCAGGCAATTCTCTCGTTTTAGCTCGCGGGGAGACATGTCGTACTTGCTGCCTCACCTTCATTCAGGATGGGCTGTAGATCAGGCCATCCTTGCTGAGGAGGAGCGTCTTGTCGTCATCCGATTTGGCCATGATTGGGATGAGACCTGCATGCAGGTATTTCCTTGCCTGGTTCTTCTTTTTCTTCTTTGATTTTCACTTGCTCTATATTTCCGTCTATTGGAACCCTAAACTAAACTGGATTTCAGCCTGTTTGTTAAATCAAAACATTTTGTTTAACCTTGCCATTATCCGGATGTATTATTCGTGCAAAGTGCCGCCTCAAATAGTGTTTTTTTTTTTTTGGGACCTGAGCGTCATATAGTATTGACTTTTGCAAATTTGTCGACTTTTTGTTCGAGGTATTTAGGTTAACTGAAATTTTGTGGTGCCTATAGTTAATAATCCTCCGGTCCTAAACACTACAAAAGGGCCTTATATTTAGGACCGGAGGAGTGATTTGCTCACTTGGCATCAGCATTAATTTTAAGTGAGTTGATACTGGAAGTGATGTCTGGCTTTGGTGCTTGTCCGCCTTCTACTCTCCCCACTTTGTCTGCTTCCCATTGCCTGAGAGCCTCGTTTATGATTAAGAAAGAAAAATGGTTATTTAACCGTGTAATTTCCAGAAGGATTAACCATCAGTCAAACTTATAACCGCATGCATAGTGTAAACCAATATTAGTAATCACAGTTTTCCTTATATTGAGGGATTATTTTATCGAGCATTCATGGCCACAGGAATCCAGATTTTATATTAATCCTAATCCTCGGGCGCTAATGCCTGCACATGAGTCTTGCTGTTTTTTGCCCGCCCTGCTCTAAACGATCTTATATCTTCTTTCCAATACCACCCTTGCCTATTTGATTTATGCAGATTATCTGATTGTGCAATGGATTTCTATTTCCTTTTTATGAACATAAGCTGCCATCTAAATTATAACATGGTGTTGTAATATTTTTCTTTCAAGTTTAGATGGATGAAGTGCTGGCATCAGTTGCTGAGACCATAAAGAATTTTGCTGTAATTTACCTCGTGGACATAACTGAGGTTCCTGATTTTAACACCATGTATGAGCTGTATGATCCCTCCACGGTTATGTTTTTCTTTAGGAACAAACACATTATGATAGATCTTGGCACTGGAAACAACAACAAGATTAACTGGGCTCTTAAGGACAAGCAGGAGTTCATTGACATTATTGAGACAGTGTACCGAGGTGCAAGAAAGGGACGTGGTTTGGTGATTGCTCCCAAAGATTACTCAACCAAATACCGTTACTAAACCTATTGTGGAAAGTGCTCTTTTCGTATTTGTATGACTATCTTTCTCTTCCAAATGTTAATGCCAGAAGAACAATTCGTAATGGGTTGTCTTCCACCGACTTTGTATGGGCAACAATATTGTATTATATTGAAGATGAAACTTCTAGACTAGATTGTGCCCGATCCGATTATTTGTTTTCCACAGAACCATACAGTGTTTTGGGTATTTTATGAAAGGAGAGAAAACTCTGGAATAAACTTTAAATTTTTGCTTTCTTAACAGAAGCATGGTTAGCAATATGGTTCTTACAACAACATTTTGCTACGAATTGAATTGGCCAGTTAATTACTTCTATTTCCTCAATGTCAATACGTTCTTCCCCGGGGCTTTTTCTCAGCAGAGATGGACAATAAAAGAAGGCTGTACTTTAAAACACCATAGAGTCTTGATTTAACACTTAACAATGCGGGAGGCGGAAACCGTGTACCATTATATTTTTAATGAAAAACTTACTTTTATATATCCCAATCTGTGTTTCATGTTACTTTATACATTCCAAAGTATCTATGGGCTACTTGCCTAGCTTGGCCATTAAATTTACAAGCATCTAATAGAGGCACTATCTATTTTTTCTGCCGATAATAGCCACAAGATCTACTACTGCCAATCCAATCATATACCATGTAGCTGCAGCAAGAACACCCTGCGACCAAGGGCTGTTAACAATATCCAGAGCTAGAGAGCCTCCAGCATGTTGATTCAATTCATGGACTGACCCCCCACCATGTAATCGAACTGTAGCTACAGCGATCATGGCAGTGACCATTGGGAATGCCCATCTGATTGGGTTATTTTGATTCTCATATATTTCAGACTCCCTCTCATTTGCTTCTTTCTGTTCGAGAGGAGATGACGAGGGCTTTGCAGCTGAACTTGGAGTTGCGGTATTCTCAGTTGAGGACGGAAGAGCATAAGCTGATGGAGCCCAATACTCCTCATCAGAACTCTGGCACCTGGTCCTTTTGCTCTCGCTGAGCTGTTTCCTTGCAGCAGCGTCTCGAAGCTTATCGATGTTTGGTTCAGGTAATCTACGTGCAACGCGTGTGAGGCTTTTGTCGGGTCCTCCTGATGACGCCCCACTTGCAACAGGCGATCGCCAGTATAACCAGTTAGAGATTGATCTGATTGCTTGAATTGCTGATATCCTTGCTTCTCTCTGAGGGTCTATTACCTGCTGATAAAGAGGTTTCTGGTTAATCCGTGAGAACTAATTAGCCAGTTCATTGCAGCCACCATTACTTGTCGACACAGACTAACCTTAGAAGACTTGTTGGAAGCCTTCTCCATTGCTTCCTGGAATCTGGTTTGGAATTTCTGCACTTCTGTAAATATGTTAGAGACGCGAGCACCGACCGTATTGCCTGTGCCGACTCTTACATTGCCTCGTGGCTGCTTGGACATCAAGAACTCCAGAGCTGCAAGGTTGGACCTTTCAACAACTCTATATTTACGCAAGCACCGAAAAGCTTTTGTCAGGTTCAGAAAAAATCTTGTATTTTTTACCCTTTTAATGCCCAGCCACATTGCCAACGTACGACAACCTATCTTTCTTAGCACAATACGTGATATTCTCACGGCCTTTGTTTCCTATCTTTTGACTTGAAAGATCATCTTCCCTCTTAAGATCTAATTAAACAACTGAAGCAGCTCGTTTAGGAACTAAATCAGGAAAATGAAGTGACATAGGAGGAACTTGAAGCCATTAAATTTGGCTTTACCTCCATACAAGGCAACAACAGTGCTGTACAGCACCAGAGATTGATGACAATTAAATCTCAGAGAAATGAAGTGCATGGCAGGCAAATGCAGTATATATATATGCACCTTGCATTTGTACTTTTTATTCTGATCTTCCGAATTTTAGTTATCCCAAAAAAAAAAAAAACAAAAACAAAAAAGTGCAGAATAGTAACATAACTTACGAAATGCAATTGACAGGACAGGAATCTATGGCCTCTTGGATTTTGTCTTCAGAATCAGCCCACTGTCCCACAACCCTGGCTCTGCCATAAACTGATTCAATCGCAAACGTCTTCTCTGCTAACAAAGCACATTTTAAGCAGCCAACGCATTTTATTTCATCCACGAATATTGCTCTCTGCTCGCTTTCCGACCCGAACCAAACTGAGTACACGGGCCTTCCTGTGAAACCCTTGAACCCTTCGATCTTTTTCTGCTCCTGCGCCATAAGAACTAGAACAACTTGAGAGAGTTTATTTTACTATAAATGTGATGATAGATGCGCTTCAAGATCAAATACTGGAACACACCCTTGTTCAAATATATGTCATCTCGTCTCTCAATTTCCAAAACTGTTATTTCTCTCTTCTATAGCACCAATCCTCGATAAGATTATGTTACATATCGACATGTACTCTATGATCGGGATTATTACGGCGTGGAAGTGAACAGGGGAAGGAGTCAGTTAATCTAGTTTATTTGTTATTCTGTGTGAACGACACAAACCTTGTCGTAGGCCAAACGGGAACTGGGGTCAGAAAGCACTGCGTAGGCTTCATTCAGAATGATGGCCATTTGATGGCCAGCGGGGCCAGCAATGTCAGGGTGGCACCGCGGGAGGAGGGTAGCGGTAGCTTTATCTGGGACTGATCGGAGCAGCTATCGATGCCCAGAAGATCATAGAGGTCGAACTCTGTGATGGAAGAAGCCGAATGGACTGCCCTGCACGTCAGAATTGAGCCTCTGGAGCAAGACTTTGGGGTTGTTAACTCCGTTCTGGTGACGCGAGAAGAGAGGGGAGAGGGAAGCGGAAGAAGACGTGCAGATGCAGTACAATGCATTTTGCAGATAAAGATAAGGTATCAAGGAGCTCTTGTGGGTCTTATACGATGTAGTTAGTTACTACAATATCATACTGCTAGATATTTTTGTCTCAGATATTTTTCCTTTCCACTTTTTTCGCTTCATCAGGTCAGGTCACTTTCCCGATCATCGTCTTTCATACAGATTACGCATCCTGGCTGACTGGCTCACCTGCGGGAAATCTTAAAAAGGATATTTATTTTTAATGATCGATTTATTATCATTTTCTGTAAGATTTAGTATCGGTTTTTAAACGAGTTATCGCTGAAAACTCTTTTGAAGCCTCATCACCAAATGTGATTCTGAAATAACTGCAAATTTTTTTACAAACCTAGCATAAATATTTCAGATTGTGAATCTTTTAATCCATATGATTTTTTCCTCTCATTACTTCGTAGTAGACTAGAAATTTATGAGCATGCACATCATTTATGTTTTGAGACACGTCGTTTAAGAAAATAAGACGATGGAATCACCATACAAATTTATTTACAGGATATGGAAATTCATTTGACAATCATAGAAGGGTGTTTACAAGATAACTTAAAACAATATCCGAAATCATAATTGATTTTTTTTTTTTTTACATTTTTGCCACTGTTAATTATACGCTATATCATTGTATTATTCCTTCTTCTACTTAAAGATGTTTGGGCACTATAAAAAGTGCTTTTCAAAAGCGCTTTTTTATAAATCAAATTTTTTTTTTTTACATTTTACTTTGTATACTGTAAAATATTTTTAAAATTATAGTTTTAATTCTATCTAAACACCTTTTTAGATCTCTCTTTCTCTTAACCGTCTCTTCACATTTCGCAAATCCAGAGTGGTTTTGAAAATAGAATATATTTTTCACACATTCTTTTTGGCCTGAACTTTACACGTCGACCTCAACAATTTTAACTGCGAAAAGGGTCTGTGGTCCGAGATGGGAAAAAGGGGCTGACTGTGGGAATGACGGAAGCAAAGGCGGTCGCATGAAGCCTGGCGAAGAACGGAGCAGCAGCGTCTGGTGGCTTTCATGACTCTCTGTTGCCAATATCCAGTGGAGACGGTCACGTTCGAGTTATTAATGACCCTGTGGCCTTCCCCTTCCCAGGTAGTTACGTACTACTCTCTTTTATCACCCCAGAAACAGAAAAAACTTAAAAAGCTTTAATCTTCCAGTGTACTCCTCTCCGTTTTTTTTTTCCCCGGCCAGTTCCAGTGTACTCCTTTAGACGTGCAAGTAAGAATAATTTTAATAATTAAGCTCTTACATGGGAATTTATACTCTGCACTGAACTTAGTCGATTAAAATAATTTCAAAACATGTTTAAGGGATAATGGCAATTAAAATCATTCCTTACTTCCTGGCCCAAAAAATCTGACTTTATCTCTTCACGTCATTCTCGTTGAAAGATTATCTGAATTTTCAAAAAATTCTACTGCTTATTAACTAATTTAAATAGATTAGAGATGTTAGTTAAATTAGTTATATGATTTTTTTTTGATGATATTTTTTTTCTAAACTTAATTATTATTTAAAAATTTCAATAAGATTATTTTAAAAAATTTACAGACATGTGAAATAAGTTTTCTATACAACATTAATATTAACTTCCTAATTAGTTTTTATATCCTAATTAGCTTTTATACTAAGCATGGATGAATACTTCACACCGGGTCAGACATCCCACGTAAGAACAACATCTGTGACCAAAACCTGCCATCAAAGGCACATTTTTTTGCCACTTTTGATTAGTAGATTGTAGATGCCGCGCAAAAACTCTCCTTCATTCCTATAATCTTTCGAAAACTTCCCCAGTGACCGATAATTATTTTATTTACCTTGGCGCCAGATTTGAAAATCCACCATTATTACCCATTGTTTTCTTTCTCTGTCGTCAGTTTCTCCCCTATATAACGACACAACTCCCTACTGCCTAATGTGCTTTCCAGTTTCCACTCGATTGTACCCTCTTCTGCAGCTTTGGGTTTTGTAAATTGATTCTGTTCTTTGTGACTTTGAAACCCAAGTTTCCATGGCTCACGGAAGCAAGCGGCTGCAGAATGACGACGCACCTCTGCTGCCGCAGTATCACCAGTCTGAGAAGCAAGACGGTGACGGTGATGAACAAGAGGGAATAGGACAGGAGGAACGTTTCAAGAATCAGCCGTCGGCGGAAGGCGGTGGTGGAGTTCTTACAGGTGAAAAACGAGAAAGTCTCGATCTTGACACCGAACCAGCGAAAATCGACCCACTAACGGAAGGCACCGAAGTTGTCAAGAAAGGCCGCGGCAGAAAGCGTAAGCTAGAGACGGATGCCTCAGGGAACGTGGTCTTGCCCGAGGCGACGAGGCGAAGTGCTAGAGTGTCGCGGCAATCGTTCTGTTATGCTTTCTTTGATGACGAAGAAGAGGAAGAAGGACGTCAAAAAAGGAAACCTGGGAGAGGTCGTAAAAGGACGAAAGTTGCGGCAAATAAAACGTCAGTGGTTGAAAAAGGTGTAGGAGCCGAGGACAATGGTGATTTAGATGGG